AGCATAATGCAAGTCCAGTTTCCAGGCCAAGTAGACACCTGGCATTGAATGGATAAAGAGGAGCAATGGGATAAAGTGCTCTTGAGCTGCTACTTGGTTGTAAGTGGGCAAAATTACTTCTCTCAGTGTCTCACACTAAGAAGGAGGGGCAGCACTTTCCATTGACTATACATGACTATGAGATGACTGGAACAATGAATTAAAATTCACTCCTTTTTTTGCCTTTCTCTTCTTGCAGTTGTTCAAGTTCTTTTATTCCCCCTATAGCCAGGCTGCAACTTTCAGTCTAAGTCACAAAGAAGGAGAAAAATCCTGCCTCATATGTAACTGGCCCACAAGTTGTTGAACTGAAATAAGTAGAATGATGTGCAATATGAAGCATCCCTCAGCACCATTCAAATAGTCTGTCTCTTCACCTCTCCATCCATTTAAAAAGTCCATTGTACTCCAGGAAATGTGTTGTTGGACTAAGAATGGGTATTTAGAGATATTTTATGTCTAATAGCATTCTACTGCTGAGACGGTCTTTGGGAAATTCCTATCCCGTGTTTACTGCATTTTCACTCACTTTTAGTTTGAGAAAAAGTCTGAGGCATAATGGATTTTTTCATTCTTTCATTTTCTTTTAAGTCCATAAAGATTTAAAAAATCGTAATCAGAATAATTCAAGACTATAGTAAGAATTTTAAAGAAACAATCATTCAAGGGAAGAATATCTTCAGAGTCTCAGTAATGACTACCTTTGGTTTTGTCACTTAATTATAGGTTATCATCGATTATATAATGGTGTATGAAAAATTAAGATCAGCGTAATACCATTCATGTAACTGGCAATTAATCATGTCCTTTAAAGTTCTCCCTGTCTTTCATCTTGTGTAGAAGAAAACAAAAATATACCACCAGAGAACATCTGAAACGTGTGTCTTCCTTCTAAATACCCTGCCTGCTGCATAAGGACTCATGATGCTTATTTACACATTTTCCAATCAACTTCTTAATCACAATCTTTGTACCTCACCACCCCTCACTGCCCCTCCCCATGCCAAAGCCTGTGACAAAAAGTCAAGGAGTTGGCAACTCCCAATAGCCTGTAATCCCTGCTCTGCAGACAGAGAATCTGGCAAAACAGTCTGGATCAGGAGATCCCAAACACATTTTATATGGCCCTCAAATAAATTTTAAGTGGATCCACTGAAGAAGAAGAAGATCAAAATAAACAGAAATTTGCATTGTGCAAGGCACTAGCAATAAAGGCATCCGTTTGAAAATAATTTTTAAACCAGTAGATTACGGGGCTACTAAAATGATATGCAGATGCCACAGATGTTAGATTTAAACAGGAATTTCTGCTCAAACCAATTTACATTTTAAATATACACTTGCAAACTTCAGAACTGCTCTAGAACCCATAGTCAAATGCTTATTTCTAAATTTGTCCCAAAGAAATTATTCCACCTCATTCAGGAATTATTCTTTCATTTATTTTTTACAATTTTATTTAAACTGTTTTTCATCCTGATGGTTGAACAGTTGTTTGAAATGACAGCTCATCCCTTCACTTGAGGGAATTTAAACAGGAATATTGGCAGATATGAATTTAAGGCAATTTTTATTATTCCCTTGCATTTTACCTCCTCCAACTTTTGTAATTTCTTGCTACCTATATTAAATATTTTGGAAACAAAATGCACAAAAAACCAAAGCTGTATATGATTAGAGATCCAGTTACAATAATCAGTGTAAAATGAGACTAAATAAAGCTAATCACAGTTCATTCAAATAAGGGTAAACAATTACAGGAAATTAAATTATTAATAAAATGGGTCATGTCACTGCTATATCTGGATAAATTAGTTTTAGCATATATTATTCCATGAACCTTATTCGTCCCTCTGTTTTGGGGGGGGGTTTAATAAATTAATTTATTCCCTCAGTGTTTCTTAGTTCAAGCAGAATTTTATACAAAGCTGCTTCACAGTTCAGGCTGGTCATTTGTATTGTGATTTCTGGCTCAATCTTATTGTTAAATTTCATCCATTTCTTGTGCTCTGGTCTTAACCTGAACTCATGAAAGCTTCTATCATGAACCTTCCCATTTATAAATGTAGGAAGATTTCCTTTGGACCATATTTATTTACCCCTTAAGAGGAACAGAGTTATCACTGTTCACCATCTTTCTTGGGAAAGAGACCTGAATATCTGCTAATTTTTAATTTAAATTATTTCAAAATTTTAGGATCAGAATAGATTAAAACAATCCACCAGCCTGACTTTCATAATAAAGACTATAAATATCTCATCTTGTTATTTCTGCACCAAAGTGATTGGTGTATTAATTCCTCACTATTAACAATGCAGTTTCAGCATGTTCTTCCCGCTACTATTTTCAGAGCTTCTCAAAATACAATTTTAATGCAATAATGGCACCAGATATGAAAAGTTACATTCCCAAATGTCTGTGGAAAAAAAATTACTTAATTGATTGTGTCTACATAGTCCTTTTACTTCTGTTTTCTTGCTTTATTCTAGCTCCAATATGAAGAATGCACACTGTATGGAGAAATGACAGAGAAATGACAGAGATTAATGACCTTTTGCAAAAACAAATTGTGTGATGAGTCATGTCATGTCTTTGGGCACTTGAATTTTTCAAGCACAGAGCATGAAGACATTGATCCAGATAAGCAATTTACTCAGGATTTATCTACCTCTTGCACTGGGCCACAATGCAGAGATCTTTAAAGGAGCTCTAGGCAAGCTGGTGCCAAGGCTGTGGGAAGCATTACACTGCTGGCACTGTCAGCAGACAGCTGTTGCACCCAAAGACAACACCAAATTTTAGGTGGCTAAATTACCTGGGGTCCTCAAGTCAGTCCATGTGCCATATTTTCCTTTGTTCTGCTGGGATATTGGGTGTAATAGCAGGATCTCTAGGCACAATGCACCTGTCCCCAAGGCATCAAGTATGCAGTCCTGCAGATTTCAGGAATACAGTTTGCAGTTGTTGAGAACAGCCTGTTCTTATGAATTTACTTGAAGTGGAGGCTAAATCAAAAATGCTGCCATAAAGCTAACGAGCAGTGGGTGCCAGTCAACTACAGATCTTTTCAAAGGAAAACCTGCAAACTGGAAAAATGCCCTCAAACTGTCTAACTGCAGATAGACCAAGGGGATTTTAGATCAAGTGCCTATGTATAAGGTGAGTAATCAAAGTAATCAGCCTTAGAAAACTAAGCTTGTTTTCATTCACCACTGATTGTCTCTTTCCCATAGGATGAATCCAGTCTGTTTCTGCAGTGCAGAGGAATGTGTTGCTGTAGGAGGCACAAGCAGTTCTTATTACAAGCTGCTATCAAAGTCCATGGTTACTTAAGGAACAGGTTCTCAGTTAACCCATAATACTACTAGTCTGCAGCAGCAGAGTAAAACTGAAAAAAAAAATAATTACCCTGAGATTAGTTGAGTTGTTTAGAGCATGGTGCCAATATCACCAAGGTTGTGGGTTCAAACCCCATTTACTAAAGAGCTGGATGCGATGATCCTTGGGTCCCTTCCAACTCAGAATATTCTGTGAATCTGAATTAAAGCTGCTTCATCTGCAGCACAAGCAGAGGAACGCTTGTGGAGGGTCACAGAAACATAAGCAACAATAGCCCTAATGCCCCCAACAAAATGGAGGTCAAATATGCCTTAGTAAAGAAGTGTTGCATTTCCCTAGATGCATTGGATATGTTACATTCCATGACCCCTGGAATGTCCTGTAGTCTGTTCCCTCTCCCTCCTGGCCATACCTGGCTGGCCGAGATCCAATTTCTTCCTGCCCACCTTTCAGACCCTAGAAAAGACCTGTGCCCCCTGAGCTCTCTCTTTTTCCCTTTCTCTTTCTCTTTCCCTTTCCCTTTCTCTTTCCCTTTCTCTCTCTCTCTTTTCCTCGCTACCCACAAGAAATAAACCCTGCAACTTCATCAGGGGAAAGAGCCTCTTTTGTTATCTTTTATTTACGTCCATGTGGCAAGGGCCCGGGAGGCTTCACCCTAACAGCTGAGCTAGACCAGAGGAAAGGGTGAAGACCCCATTAAGGGCCAGAAAAGCCACAAAGAAGTAGAAAATACTTTTAAGTGAATGATACCCGATAGAAGAAGAATTATTTCTGTAGAATAAAAGTAACTTTCATTGATTTTTCTAAATAACTCAAGTTGTAGCAAAACATTAGCTTAAAACTGTGGGTGTCATTAACAAATCTTCTCTAATTTCCGTCTATTTTTCCATTTCAAAGGTAAGACACAGCATTTCATATTCTAACTCACCTTTTTACAGATAATTTTCAAATTCTCCCGGGAAATAACAGGGAAAATTTGACACAAGTTTCTGTCTTTGCCTTGTCTGTGGTTTTGCCAAGGCATCTGCACTACAAACAATGTTTCAAGACTACCATCACCCTTTTAAAATCCTTGAAATACTGAGCATGTCTCCTTCTGGAACTACTCAGCCCCACACTAAACTAAAACTAAAAGAAGAGAGATGAAAACGTTCAAATTACAGTATCTGACAGCAATTATTAGGTTTAAGAATCAGTAGTTTGTCAAGTTGAACTATGTTGGTTACTTAAGGCTAGAGAAACTTCGCTCTCTGTGTGCTATCCTATCTCTGCCTTAAAAAGTTTCTGTCTGAAATGTATTTTAAACGAAAGCAGATATGTTGAAAGTACATTTAAATTAAAACCTCCATAGGAAAATGCAGAAACCCCTCAAATACAACTTTTAAGGTGTGCTTCCCCTGGCTTATCATAAAAGGAATGCCAGTCTAATAAAACCTCACCTTACCTAACACCTGAGACAATTGCTAACAGTAGCAATGAATATGACTTAAACCTTAAGCCTTAAGCCTTGAAATCCTCTCAGCTGTGATTGTTTAAAGTAATTAATAAAGGAAATGTCTTGTATTTGGTTTGTTTTCAAAGGACTATCCTACTCAAGACAAGAATTTCAGAGGACTAAGGATGCATTTAAGAGGGATTATTTGTGTGCAAAATGGTCTCAGTTCAAAAAAGCCTCCAGACACTTTCACCTTCAGAATGTCACCGTGTCCTACTCCCTATCCTTAACCTATGTTTTAGCAGTGTATTTATTTGTTTATTCAAACAACAATGATCATAGCTGGTGCTTCAGAATTTTTCACATTGCAAGGACATTCCAGGCCAGTTGCAAAGACATCATTCACAGGCAGCCAGCCACAGCTGAGAAAATAGAAAAAAAAAAGAAGTGCTGCTTAACCACAAAGGCGTGAAATCAGTATTTTAGAGCTATACTTTCAAAAATACCTCCAATGCCTGCACCCTCAGGACAATGCTATGCTTCTGCAAACAATCTTGCAGCCATTGTTTGAGATTTCATTCATTACTGTTTGAAAACTACATTGAGACTCTCAGAAGGGAGATACTACAGCACTCTACATATCTGCCTAATTAGCTTTGGTCAGAAGTTATTATTTTTTCAGTCAAGCTGAAAGATCAAATATATAATTGAAAAATAAACTGCAAAACAAAACACAACAAAAATAAATTTGAAGATGGTTAAATACCTTTGTATTTATTTATGGAGAAGGCTAAGTATATCTCTTCCAAAATGCATGACTGCCAGGGCCACGTGGACATCCCCATCCAGGGCTGGAGTGTAGATGAGGGGCACCTGCTGCAGGCAGTGGTTTTAGGACAAGGTCTGGTAGCAGCCTCCACAGGGTCTCTTCTTTATCAGCTCTGCTAGTTCACCACAGATTTCCTTCATTATTGTTAGCCCTGTTCATGTCATTACATGCTTTTGTTTATACCCAGCACCAAAAGTGCTGGCACAACACTGGCTATTATTAATTCAGCAAAGTTTTAAAGTATGTGTAGTGCCGAGAGCCCAGCCTCTCTGCATCTTCACTTTGGTTCTTCCCTGAGAATTAAACCTTTCATTATTCAGCCCAGTTATTTATTACCCTCTTTAAAAATTCAGTGCAGTCTTCTAACTGACATTTTCAACAAAAGGTCATCTGAAATACACACAGTGTTCCTCGTATTGCCTGCCTTCCCCTCTAAAGGTCCACCAGAGATAATGTTGTGTTTGTCATCTATTTACTCATTACATTGTGCAACAGGCCTTTGATCCCCCGCTTGTCTGCATGCCAGGGCTGTCTCCCATGAGGTAGCTCTAGGGTGGCTTTCCTCTTTTCCATTCTCTTCCAATTAAGCTGGACATATTTTCAATATCCCCCACGCTAAATAAGGGTATACAGTGTATTGCTTAAAATGCCACGGCTAAGTTCAGTTATAAATCGCACATGACTGCAGCACCAGACAAAACCAAGGAGCTGCACAAGGAGCTGGGAGTGAGAATTCACCTGTCAATTATGCCTAAAATCCTTGCAGCTTCCAGTTTTCTGTAAGCTGAGCTCCTCTAGTTTGGACAGCAGGAAGACCAAGAACCCACAGACTATAGACACCATCTTAAAAATTACTTCAACCAAAATTAGTACAAAATATGTTTCTCCTCTTGTTTCACCAATGGGACCGTTCACCCTTCCATAGTGTAACTAAACCATCTCACACAACAAATACCATCTTTTTCTTCACAAGGCTTTCCTTCAAAAATCCACCTCCAGATTCAGAGGTGGCCACTCAAATGTCCCTTTTCAATGTAAAAACATGAATATTTAGCAGTTTCACTGTGAGATTAAAAACTTGGAATTCATTCAAGGATTTACCTCCTACCTCTTCATTTTTTATGCACTTTATGAAGGGACATGAACTGTCATTGGACGGAATTGCATTGAAATTCAAGTGATCCATCTCTTTTCTTTGCCATTTCAAAGGAGGACTATTCAAGCACCTGCTTTTAAACTGTGAGTACCAAGCAGAGCACTTTGGACCAAGAGAAGTCAAAATTTTAACTTACCTTTTCCAAGTGACTTAAGCAGATTCCATATGACGTGACTTTTCAGAGACCTCCAGCCACAGCACTGGACCCTGGGGGCCCACCAAGATAGGTTCTTGGTCTAAGGAACATAAGAAATAAATTTCTTTCTTGACACACTGATTTTCCACTAATGCTTAAAATTTTTTTGTTTCCCTTTCTGAAGGAGAAGGAGCTTGAGAGGCACCATAGCCTGAATTCCTACTATATGGCTTTGTGGGGAGAAGATGTCTTACAAGACACTTCAGTGGAATGAGATTCAGTCACACCTGGTGAAGGTCTTGCACACAGATTTTCAGCCAAGTTTCCAGCAACTCACTGACTCTACTGCTCAAAAACTGAATTTGGCACAAGTATGTGTACCAGGACACTTTTTAACACAGCCTAGTCCTCCCAGTATGAAAAGACTTCATGTTTTGTAAGAGTCAGGGGTGAAATTAACAGACTTAAAATTCTTGCTTGCCCAAGTTCCACCTCTTATCTACTAATCTGTGAACAGAGAGCAGGAATGTCCTCTCCTTTTTACAGCCAGGGCTCTTTATGTTCTCTGGGAAAAGCTTTTGTGAAAGAGCTACTTTTAGTTTCAGTGAAGTATCTCTGAGCTTAGGTCAATGTTAGCACTATTAACCATGATGTTGCTATATATTTAAAACAAGGTTAAAGTAGAGGAATCTTTCCTAGTATTCTTTGAATAGAAGAATATCCTGGACAGATTCCCCTGACTTTAAAATGCTCAAGGAACCTCTGAAGCAGAAATAACAGTAAGGTCTTTGTAAGGCTATCCCAGCACTATGATCTGTGGGGATATAGAATTTAAGGGACTTACATTCTGGCTCAAAAACTGTGCAAAGCTTTTCAGAAAGAAGTTCAGAGCAAAGAAAATGCATAATACAAATATGATAGTTACTCCTAGAGTCATATTTTTAGGGTAAGTGAAGTAGGCACAAAATTTCTGTGAAAAATAACAATGAAAAAGCTAATTCGTTAGCAACTTTATTTATTGTCTGCCAAAAGCAATTGTGTTCTGTTAAAAACTGGCAAACTAAAGAGAAAAATTAATCTCTTTTTTTGTGTTTTTTTGTTTTGTCACTGTTAATTAAGGCATTTATGCAACAGAGCATCAAAAAAGTTTATTTGATGCCTTTGCAAATCATCTGGAGCCAGCATGCAAAGCTGATCAATCCATTTTCTCATCGTGCTTTAATCAGGTGTAAAACCAGCCTAATTGAAAGGAGGGGAGTGATGAATCACCATCTGGAGGTAGCTGTGCAGATTACATGCTTACCACCCTTCTCAAGGAAATGATGAGCTTCCAGGGGAAGTTTGCGTTTGAACTTGGGATCCCTGATCCTCAGCCATGCAGAGCATGGCTGAGACACAAGGCCCTTCCAGCTGCTGTGGCCAGGCTTCCATCCCATCAGAGTTGAGAAATGAAAGCTGTGTCCAGCAGATGAGCTCTGCTACAGAGATAGGACACGGCCAAGGCACATACTTGGTTCTGGAAAGACAGAAACACCCCAAAGCAAGGCATAGCCTTTGCATGTCCTTACTACCAAAAATGAAAGCTTATTTAGAGAACAGAGAGCATTTGTTCCTATGAGCATTTTAGAGATCTTGAAATTTCCCAAATTACAGAGTGTGTTGTACTAAATGGAAGTATATTGTTACATATTGCATAGACAACAAAAGAGGCAACAGCATCTGGCAATGTGGAAATGTAGTTTCCATCTAGATCTGGATTATCACTTGCTTATCTGGTCCCCTCTGAGCCAAAAACAATATAATAGGTCTAGGAAAACAACATAATGACGACGAGGTATGAAGATACCAGTAGAGATTAAATGAGCCTGGATTCTTAGCTGGTAAAGATAAAATTTATAGAATATAAGGGAGTAGGATAATGAATGTCACAGGGGAAATTAATGGTGACTAGTTATTTATTTTCTTTACAACATGGGGACTAATTATTTCTTTTCTTTGCAACATAAGGACTTTACAGCATTGAAGAAAACTTACAAGTAGATGCTTTTTAAAAGAAAAAAAAAAAATTTTTCCACTCAA